GATTTTCATAAACAACTCTTTAAATAAGTATTTCATGAAAAATCAATCGAAGTAAAATTGTAGCTTATAAAAAACAATCAAAATACTGGGTTTTAATTACCACTACCTATACTGAATCCATACGGAGTGATAAGTAGTTGTTAAAGCTTGGTTCTTCATCGTCAAACGCCAAAATCGTAAACTTCAACGTGAAATATCCCAAAAACAATGATAATATCCATCCCAAAAAAAATAACCCATACGGGAAAGTCCAATTAAAATACAATTTAATCTTTTTCTGGATAATAAAATATTGCCTTACTTACTCCCATAATTTAATGAATTTTACTTTTACAATCTTTCTTGTCCATTTTCCTCACTCCATAATTTTGGGGTTTTAATTTATAATAAGACGCCTGCATTTATATTTTTCATACTTTATTTCCAGAAATAGCACACATTTTGGGAGAATTCTTAAAAACTTTTCTTAGGTAACACCTACTCATTAACTATACCACCGTGTCAAATATTGGTGAGTAAACAGAATAGGGTTCGAGATTTCGTGAGTCAGTAAGTTGGTAACTTTTCGCTTTTGTGAATAGTTAGATAGTAGATATTTATCTACTTACTACTACATCATCTAATAACTACATCTACTAATGACTAGGACAATATGTACTAAATTATCAAACGATTATGAAAAGTTTGCATGGTTGATGTGTGAGTATAGTTTTGTTTAGAACTTAAGATAACCTGACTTTGCCCGTGGCCCGACCACCCGACTTTTCTTGTCCGCTTTTTTTATAAACCGACATGCAAAGCATGATTTAAAAAGATTTTTTCTCAGTGTCCCTAATTCAATTTGTTTGAAGTTTTCCTTTAACATCCTATCGTAACTGAAGACAGAGCGGCGAGAGTTCAAGTGGGCGCAGTCCGTGTGAATCTGATCGAGTACGCGGCCTGTAAGCCGACACCGCGCGTCTGGTGAGCATCTCGGATCGCTGAGAAATCCAGCAGAGATCAATCTCGCACAATTGCATCGCACCAACATGTGGTGTGCGTGCTACGATGCGTAGATGAATGCCGGACGTTTGGGTTTGAATAGAAATGGTACATTTTGCTATTGAATACCTAGAAGACATTCGTATATAATATGAGGTCATAGTAAACATATTTTTGATGATTTCCTAATGTTTTATTTTATTCCTTCCTATACTGAAGCAAATTTATACTAAACTATCGTACCCACTTAAACTTATTTTTATTGTTAAAAACTTAAGAATTATCCTTGAACGTGATTTTCGTAATAAATATTTATGGATACCTATTATCATCATCATCCGTCTAATTAATGTCCCCACCATCGAATATCGTTTGTCGCCACTACTGGGACATAGACCTTTCCTATGTACGCAACAGAAAGAACGCACAATAACCCACCTTGCGGCCCAGTATGGTTGAGTGGGTGCTTATGACGGCAGATGCAGCTTGGACCAACTTAGCTCTAGATTAGATATACAATTTTTGGTCTCCATTCAATGACCGGGCATTGCGGAACTTCCACGAACACAGTCCAAGCTCACTTCGTCATCGATCTCCTTTAGATACCCCAAGTCAGATTTATAAAGGAAAGGAACTAGCGAACCTGTCAAGGAGTGTACCAGTGAACCTACCGGGTTTTCACAGATTTAAATCTTCGAAATTTCATTGAAATCTCTGTAAGCGTTCAGTTCAGTTTAAATAAAAATTGTTAAGTAAAATCTTAAAACTTGACTACAGTACCACCTACCGCGTCCAGTTGTAATACTAAAGCCCGACACAGACTTATGAAACACGACGCCACCCAACGCCACGTCACGCGTGTTGAGTCAAATCAAAATGTACTATTTTATATGATCAGAATCACATTAGGAACATCAGACGCGACACGATGCGCTATTGAAAATACGCGTCCCGTAGCGTAGGGTGGCTTAGCGTTTCATAATTATAAGTCTGTTTCGGCCTTAATACTAACACTGACCAACAATTACTTTAAAAGGAGGTTGCTGTCAAGTTTACAAAATAATAGAATATATAAATATCCACGCGAAGTGCCAGCACGGGCTAGTAGGCGACAAGGTTATATGAGACTCCTTATTCTTCTTCCCATCATCTTCCCGAGCGGCCTTTAAAGCCAATTTAGTCTTAGATGTATCTACTTATCCTTAGAATTTTAAATCATTAGAATGGTTAATAACCATTTCATCTATAATAACACATAATGATCTCCATTAAGAATAATTACATTAAAATAATAAGTAATTAAATTAAGCGTGGTCGCAACCGAAAGTCCAAAAAAATCAATTTATTTTAATAAAAGATACAAGTTGCGTTGTTAATTACAATATAACTTAAAATTAATTATTAATAAGTGAACAAGTCCGACCGATATAAGGTATCAGAATGCCCGTTTCCTGAATCGTGTAAAATGCAGTCACCGATGCTCGCTGCTGCGTCAGCTACACGTGCATGTCCAATGTCCATGGGAATCGAGGTCGGCGCATGCTAAGCACTTCATAGAGGCGCTTCGCGTAACAATTAGACAAATTAATTGGTTATTTGTGTACTCATTTTTAATTTATAAAATATTTTTAGACTGGTATATTGTAAGACCGAGACAAAGGACCTCTGTTCTTACTGTCTCATAGTGCTCGGGTTGGCTCTCTATATCTGACAACGTTAAATGAACTTTCGTGTATATTTTTATTTTATAGATAGGTCCGACAAATAACTCCACCCCACCTGATGTTAAGTGAAACTGAAGTCCAGACGCGAAGATAGCTGATACAGCAGTTCTACCTGCCACACCAGCCATCCTCACCCTGCCGGCATGCATGTTGCTTCTTCACGCCTCTTTATAGGATCCCAGGTTGTAAGAGGGTGGGAACACGTGAGCGGGCAGAGCATTCCATTTAAGGATAGTGCGACAAAGAAATGAGTCACCAAATTTCTTTGTACGCATTGGAATTGTGGCCACAGTTAGACGGTGACAACGTAGGCCAGCGCGCGTGGTCCTCTGAAGGAAAGGGGAAGGTGGAATAAGAGAGAATAACTCTTCAGAACACTCGCCGTGGTACATACGATAGAACGCGCTTTGTGACGCCACGTCACGGCGTAATTGAAGAGGCTCGAGGTGTTTAGTCATCTCCTCATCGCTTATGATGCGGATCGCGCGCCGCTGTAATCTATCCAAAACATCGAGCAAGTACTTAGCGGAGCCATCCCAGAGGTGCGAGCAATATTCCACGCAAGACCGCACTTGCGTTTTGTACAACAAGCACAGTTGATCGGGCGTGAAAAAACGCCGCACCTTGTTCAGGACTCCGAGTTTGCGAGAAGCTGTTTTGATCACGGTTTCGATGTAGTCCTTGGGATTCAGGTCTGAGCGAACTTCCATACCGAGTATGGTAATGTTGCTCTGTAGCCCCAGTGTTGTGTCCTGAAGAGAGGGAAGGGGAAGGAATGGCGATGTTTTTGCCGTGAAAGCGCAAGCCTGAGTTTTCTTGGCATTGAACTCAACCAAGTTCTTGGTGCCCCTTTCGGAAATGTGGTCCAAAACCTGATTGAGCTCAATGACAACATTCTCCCGTTTCTCCCTCCGCATGCACTGTACTATCGTCTGCATAGCAATAAATATTCCCAAGAATTAAGTCATTGATATGCAGCAGAAAGAGAGTGGGGTTAGAACAGACCCTGGGGAACGCCGGCATTCACTGACATGAACCACGAACTGGTACCATCCGTAAGGACATGAATTCTACGCTCATGCAGGAAGTCAGCTACGCAAGAACAGAACTGGGCCGGCATGCGGCAGACCGTATGCCGGAAGCTTGGAGAGAAGGCTTTTATGCCAGACCAGGGGGCCAATCGCCTAACCGGATTGCTTGCGAAAACGCTATCGCTTACGATTTCATTTTGTTATTTCTAGCCACCTGAGGTTTTAAAATGCTTCGCGCTCTTTTTTTCTTTTGCATAGCAATATTAAAGAAAATGAGCGTGAGGTATTTGAAAACGGCGGTCAGAAATAACAAAGTGAAATCGTAAGCGATAGCGTTTTCCAAAGCAATCCCGTAGGCGAATGGCCCCCAGATAGCCAACGACTCGCCACTCTTGTCGATAGCCTGACCCCAGATATGAGTCAAGTACGCTAGAAGATCACCCGTCGATCGTTTCGGTCTAAAACACCATTAATCAGGGAGTGATCCTCTAGGTAGCGGGTTAGATGGTTGTTAAGGACCTTTTCTAGAACTTTACATAATATTGAGGTGACTGCTATTGGCCAGTAGTTTGTCGGGTCTGAGCAATCCCCTTTTTGGGCACCGGTTGCACGTATATGTCAAGGTTCGAATTTTCAAAAACGTTATTTTTAATAATACTAAGTCCTATTTATATAATTAAACGTCCATAATACACTGTAATCTATTAATCTTATTTTTATCAAATATAAGAAGAAAATAATAATGATGAGGTTGTATTTGTCTATCTAGTTTTAATATCCGATGCTTTCGCCATGTAAACATAAAATGAAACAAATGTATGGCCAATCAGAGATGGTTCCGCGCTCAATTCAGGATCTTCTTTTAAATAGCTGTAGTTATTTATCTTTATTTAAATTTATTATAAGCACTGTAGGGCAAATTTAAAATTGTAGGTTATGTCATATGTTACTCATTATTTTGTTTTGTCTCTGTAAATATTTATTCAAGTGTTCAAATATTTTGTTACAGTCTTTATAACTTTGAAATGTTTTTCTTTAAATAGGGTGAGGTTCTGGGTATTGTTGTCTTCTGTCATTATGACGGTCTTTTAGTTGCGTTCTTTGAAATATATATGTAATTATTCTTCAATATAAAATAAACAAACTAAAGACGAGGCTGTATGGGCTTTAGTTCTCCTTGCCTTCCCTAAAAAGGGAAAATATTTAAAAAAAACAACAATTGTCATAATGCTGTCACTCCACTGACACTGACTTATGAGTGATTGTTTTTTTATCTTTCTTTCGCCAGTTAGTCCGTCGGTTGAAGGAAAATGCTATCAATGATTCTACTATGTTGAATCATTGTCATTACTTTGAAATTCCTATACAGTTCTAAGATATATTTGCAACATAACATTAATGAAGAATATTCAGTACCGGTATTGATGGCCAAACTACCGAATGGATGGGTTCAGCTGGTGAGATTTCATTTTGTTCCAATTTCTAATTATGATTCAAAGGGACTTGATATTTTTTGTATGTGTATACTACATACATTGCCTTCCTTTGTATAATTGGATGAAATTGCCCAATTGAGTTGGTAGGTACTCAATAAATACCTAGTTGTCTTTAGAATGGGTGTAGTTATTGTTATGTCTGCATCACATTTGTAAGTAACATTGCGAAACTATTGAGTTGTCAACTGTGTCAGTAAGTATAATAAATATAGATCCTATTAACTCAAAACTGGGCAAAAGTGGCTCAATAACAGCTGGGAGGGCCCAATATAAAATATTTGTACACTGACTCACTTTTCAATGTGAATAATTGAACATCTTTTCCTGCAATATCCTATCATTCAGACCAACACAACATTATTGTCAATATATTGTGTTGACACAGATAATAAAATTATTCTAAATGTTTTTTATAGGTACCTTTCTGAAGGCTTCCAAGTGATTATTGAAAAATCTAAAGAAGCAAAATGTTCTTTAAAAGACATACAGTTGCGTTTCTTGTGCCCTGATGATTTGGAGGAGGTAATTATATCACTTCATTAATAATGTATCTTTGATTGTCCCTTTATTACAAAAAAAAATTGTACAGATAATTTTGTAGTGCTACAGTAACCACTGTCACTGCCTGATTGTACTTCCTATTTTATTTTTAAATATTAGCTGCCATGTGGTCTGTCAACACTTAGCTATATCCCACATCATGTGCTCAGTACGATGGATCAGTGGGTGCTAAGGCTCAGCTTTCCATTATATGTAATTGAGTTGCAAGCTGAAATTTTTGTCACGCAAACTATTAACTATTAAAAACACGTACACGAAATCTTTTTAGGCGGAAACGAATAGAACTCGAGAAAAGAATTATCGAAAATTAATGTTTTTGTAGGTTAAGAGTCAATTTTGACAGCAATTTTGATCAGTGCTGCCATTTTTTTATGCAAAAATAACATGTTTCTCGTTGTCTATGGTAAATATAAGTTTATTATGTTGGTACTATTGTCAAAAAGTGACAATTTACCGCCATTAATGAGATCTGTCAGTCAGTGTTTGTGTTCGTCGCAATTGAGAGCTTTTTCGTACTCCTGTTGATATTAATATCGTCTGACTACCATGGCATCCTCAAAGCCTTCGGCCTTGAGTTCTGCTGTTCCTTCGCCTGAAGAGTCGAGTGTAGTGCGAGTTTTGGACTCTAATGAGCCTCTTGTGTCATGATACTTCACACTAGGTTAGGTTAGGTTAGTGTTGTGACCTTAACGCGCGAGCCGAGCGAGCGAAGCGAGCGTGCCGCGGCAGCGGCCGGCGAAGCGCCAGAAAGAAAAATTCGTTAATAGAGACTTTTTCTACAAAAAAATCTAGGCCCTGGAAGTACAGTTAAAACCCCTCTAATTTTTTATAGTTATCATTTCTGTAAAAAAAAAGCGCCGGGAGGAGGGGGGTTACCCTTCCCTCTGAGGGGTCTTCCCTTATACCTATCCCCCTGAAATTCCACTACATTTAACAGATTTAATGAATTTTTAGGTTAGGTAAAAAAAAAACCGCATTTCCGCCAAAAATCTTTTATGGCGGGGAGGTCGGGGGGAGCCCCCCCTCCCCCTCCCCTACAAATTACCCCGAAATTCGATTACATATAATGGAATTAAGTACCGGTGCTAATCATAAACCTCTTTTTCTTCATAGTCCAGAGGGCAAAAGGGACTCAAATCCGCACCCCCTCTATCTGGGGGGATGCACTGAACAATTATGCTACCGAGACCTTTAATGGCCATGGCAAATATCTTCTAGTATTTTTTAGGCTGCAAGGCAGCACCACAAAATATTATTATTTTCTAGTAAAATTTTCTTTAAATTGAAACATCTTGTTAAATGCTTAAAAAATAAAAAAATTGTAAACCTCTTTTGTTCACATACTTTACTAATTTTTCTGAATAAAATTAAGCCTGATTAGTTGAAATTCTGTTATTTCAGGTCCGATCTCTTTGTAGAGACTGGTTTCCAATAGAATATCCACAGTCATGGTATGAAGACATAACATCATCGGAGAGATTTTTCGCTCTGGCTGCAGTGTACAAATCGCAAATCATTGGTCTGATAGTGGCTGAAATCAAACCGTATCTAAAACTGAATGCTGAGGACAGAGGAATATTGTCCAGATGGTTTGCGTCAAAGGACACCCTTGTCGCATACATTTTATCCCTAGGTAAATGCAATATTCAAAATAATATCAGACAACAATAATGTTCTATTTTCACAAGTTCTGCATAATTAAACTATAAATTTTTGACACTTTTAGATATAATAAACTTTAGAAGGAATTGTTGATTTAAAGTTTTTTCTCTACTATTACTGTGCAGGTGTAGTTCGCTCGTACCGTCGGTCAGGGGTAGCTACAATGCTCCTGGATGTGCTTATCAACCACTTATCTGGACCCATGCCACAACCACCCCATGAGCATCGTGTCAAAGCCATCTTCCTTCATGTACTCACCACCAACTCTGAAGCTATTCTATTCTATGAGAAAAGAAGGTGTGTATTATTTGGCAGTTACATTTGGCCATAATCAAAGACTACTGAAGTCCTTGCTATTATGAAAGTATGGTAGGGTTCATAAATGAAAAAGTGCTGCCTTAAATTTTGTTTCAATGGACTTTAATCATTTCAGGATTTCATGTCAAAAAAACTGTATTAATTGATCCAACATTGAAAAGCTAATATTATATCTAGATAGCAATGTTTAAGTTAAAAACAATGGTTGATATACTCTGAAGATAGTCATAAAACTCAATGAGTAATTGACAAAAAATATTTATTAGTTAATGACAACACTTTTGCTGAGTCTCTCATACTTTATCTATGCCTGCAATACATGTTAACTTATGTATATAGTCTTCTGCATATACTTTATTTGTATGCCTATTCTGATTGAGGTTGCTAGGCCATAAAATGTAAAGGCCGGACTGCACACTATATAAGGCCTGACATTTTGCTCTAAAAGCCGGATATATTTTTTTTATTGCCAAACAATGTTTTTACAGCTGGGCTGTTGAAAAAAGTATTTACACGTGATGTAAAGTGAGAATGAGATCGAAGCGCCAACAGTTTGCTCTCTTGTCCGCTCGGACGCTCGTCCGCCCATCGTCGTACGAACCGCCACTCTGACAAAAAGCCGGACAGGCCAAACACGTACATATTTGGCCGGACGCGACCGCATAAAGCCAAACATGTCCGGCTAAAGCCGGACACCTGGCAAGCCTAATTCTGATAAAACTTTTATTCATCAAAACAAACATTGGTCTGTTTTCTTGAAATTTTTCTCTACATTATAATCCCCAGCAAAAGCCTTTCTATTTGCACCATGTTCTTTATATATTTTCTTTTAGATGGGATGGTACACAAAATATTTAAGTTTCAGTAAAATGGATTTGTTTTATCTGTGATAGTTTTTATTAAAGAAAAGGAAAATGCATTAGTATCTCAATTGATGTTATTTCCAGGCCAGGTGTCCATAGGCCAAAGCCTAATAAACATTTTTTTTTAATGTTTAATGTTAAAAGTGCACAGTCTATCTCGTAATAAGCAGTCACAGTCACTGTGTGCTTATTTGTCTTCCTTCCATTTGTCGGCTTGCATAAATTCAAAGAAGTACCAGGTCACGGCTTCTATAAAGTCAAAGAAGTACCAGGTGACGGCTTCCATAAAGTCAAATTAGTACCAGATAAAATAAAAAGTCAAATTCCACAGAAGTCTAATTTAAACTTGCCCTGCTCACTACAAGTAATTTATTCTTATTAAATCCCCTTTGTTACAGATTCCGCTTGCACTCATTCCTGCCTTACTACTATTCGATCAAAGGTCGTTGCAGAGATGGCTTCACTTACGTTTACTACGTGAACGGGGGTCACGCACCGTGGGGATTATACGACTACGTTAAATACGTGGCTCGGGCCGCGTGGCGAGGCGGTGGCTTATACCCGTGGCTTTGGGGCAAACTGAGAACTGCGCTCACTATCGCCTGGCACAGGTAGTCTTAGTCCTATGCTACGGCCACATTATCGCGCGAAGATTCGTGTCCTATTATCACGATAAAACTTGAACTTCCATTTACGTTGATAGTCCTATGCTACGGCCACATAATCGCGCAAAGATTCGTGTCCTATTATCACGATAAAACTTGAACTTCCATTTACGTTGATGTGTACTGGCCACATTTGAAACAAGACATCGCAACATCACGGTAACCTTGGTGGCAAGGTATCTTTGTTTTCTCTGATTTACTTGGCTTTTCTGTGTTCGGCTGCCGGGGATCAAAACATTTCTTATTCATAACTTTCTATGAATTCCAATAGGTATTCTAAAATTGCTCCGATTTAGTTATTTTTTAAGCATTTAACTGCCAGATGTTTCAATCTATAATTACTCCTATTCATTATTTTTTTACGTGACGTCAAAAAAAAACAAGATTATTTAACGCGTTAAAATCCTTTGATGCGCACCAATTTACCGACATTGACGCATCGCATATTTATCGTGATAAACATTCACGACAGGATGAATAGCTTCCCCATAAAATGCAATACTTCGCGATAATGTGGCCTCAGCATTAGTATAAGGTTTTCCGCAACTCGACACTATGTGGCTATTTTGCGTGAGGAAGGGCATCAATCCTACTCCTCCAGGACGCCCAGAACTCAATGGCTACTGGCACAGGTAGTCCATGGCGTATAAATACATCCTTTGTGAATAGAATGCGAGTCAATCTTCATGGCGGCTGTGGAGTTAGCAGCGAGTGCAATACGCGTAGGCATAGGTAGACATAGAGGATGGACGGACCAATCCCTGTCCAAATGTAAAAAAATAATTGAGCAGAGAAGTGTGAGAGAGAAGAAGCGATCTTCCGGCTAATAGTTCCTAAGTATGTCTATGGGCTGCACCATCGCTTTCACTCTTCTAGAGAGTTATCAATATCACACGACTGTCACTCTCTCCATTGTGTATATCTGTCATTGGCAATCTGTATATTGTAGTCGGGTAGGCCGAGCGAGCAAAGCGAGCATGCCGCGAGAACGACCGGCGAAGCGCCAACCACCCGATATATAATAGATAAATAAAACAAGGAAAAGCCGACTATCCGCCGCTATCTTCTTTTAGATACATTGCCGTCCGCGCATTCGGCATTGTATAGGCAAAGTGTAAAAGGAAAAAGTAATATTTTATACGTTGCCTTGACGTTTTTGGCATTCTATACATTGCCTAGGTATTGTATACAATGCCGGATTATACAGATTGCGGGTAACATATCTATGGTAAAACGCCGCGCGCATACAAAATTTAGTTTACTCCGCCACAGCTTGCGCCAACTTCACAGCCACGATTATGTTTGTATCGAATTATACCAACCTTATGTTCAACCTCTTCATGAAAGATTAGTAGAAGCGTATTTAATCAATACAAGAATCCCCCTTATTGATAAATGATGAATAAGTGTGTCTCTTATCTCTGCTCATCAAATTACAAATTTCATATGAGTGACTTGTAAGTAAGTGCATTCTTCTTTAATTAATGTTATGGGTTATGTTTGACCTTATAATTGTGATTGGTGATGAGCTGACCTAGTTTTTAAAATTATTTAAATTGAAATTGCATTTAAGAAACATTCTAAGTAGATCCAGAACACACTATTTTTAACTTCTTTAGACGTATTTCTTAGGCAAAAACAGTTGACTTATCTACTTTTTAAATGTTTGGGATTAACTATAGTGGCAACTTCAGTTTGACGCTGCCGAGTCAATATAGAATGAAATAGTACAATATGAATGTCGTTTGATCGGGATTGGATAACTGATCAATAACACCATTTCGAAATAGTGACACCCAACAGGGTACGCAACCCCATATTTCACTATAAAACGGCCAAGTTTACAATGCCCGTGTGATTACAATAGACGACTTTATCTCTTTACAGATACGGTTCACAATTGCATGACGCCGCCCTTACAATGCGACGGAGACGTGCCGCGATACGGGACTGCGGACGGTTTCCAATGACCATGCAATCTTAAACTGGACTCCGTCATATCGAGGTTAATGCTTTTTACCGAGCGTTAAAATAGTAACGCATTGAAATCACAAACTTATCGCACCACGTCATCCGTTACATGAGTAAGGTGTGTTATAATAGGCCTTATTTTGTTATTGTAAAATTTTGCACCTATTTTTAGTAAAAATGTATTTTTAGGTATTCGATGTTTGTCTAAATTAATTGTGTTTGTTGATTTCTTATCATGATGCGATGTAATGGTATCGTTCCTTATTTTGATTGGTTACTATATATTATTATACACTACAATAGTATGTTGATAATTATCATATTATTTGTTACACAACTTTCTCAGATATACAGGGTGAAATTGAATGTTTTAATGAAACTTCGTGGGAATGTTGGGTTACGTATATAGAGTATCTCTGATTTTTTTCGGATTTTTTAAAAATAATTTAAAATAAAATTTTTTTTTTGTTATATTTTAAGTCCTTTCCTCCTTTTGGGTACTAAATAATTATTCTTTTAAAACATGCATACAGAGTAAGTAAAAAACAAGTAATAAGCACTACTAAAAAAGACGTAAAAACAGGAGACGGGCGGCCGGGAGCAATGACCGCTCCCGCCGTTGAATACCTTCCTGCCTACCTATCTAGGTATGCGCGGTGCACAGCGCAGTGTGCGAGCGGAGTCTCAAGCGCGCGTGCGTATCTTTTAAATTTGTGACAAGACAAGATTTGCAAATAATGCCTTGATTAGTTCTTGTTCTGTGCCCTCAATATAAGAATTTGGATATGGTGTGTTGTTATTGCGAGTGTCACGGAATACTCAGCAGAGCCACAAGGCTTTACGAAAGTAGGTTTGGTGATTTATTGGGAAGTTATAGAGAAAAAAATTAATAGGTACATCGGTCTCGTAAGTACTTTTGAATACCTGGTAATAAATTTCATTCTGACCCAAGTATTGAACTGCAATAAGTATTTCTTTTTGTTTAACTTTTGCCTATTTCCAATCGTGACAAAATTATTATTAACTTTTTAAGTTTTTCTCTGCTTATGAGAAGATGACATTTGTGCTTATTATTTCAATTTCAATAAAGGCATCTAAGACGATTTTATTGTATTGTGTGGAATCAAACGAGTCAGCTGAGCTCTGTGTACGTACCTACTCACTCAACGGCTGGCGGGCGCGGTCGGTCGTTGACCCGCGGTGGAATTTTACTGTTTTTTCGTTTTTTAGAAGTGCTTATTTATTAGTTGTTTTTCACTGGATATGTAAGCATGTTTGTTTAATATGAATAACTACTCAAAAGGAGGAAAAGACAAAAAAATACACAAATTATAAATAAATACATGAAAAAATATACTTCAAAAAAATCCGAAAAAAATCAGGCATACTCTATACTCGTAACCCAACAATCTCACGAAGTTTCATTAAAACATTCAATTTCACCCTATATATTTGCTTTGTAATTTTTACTATTTGGACACAACTGGATTAGCCCGCATTGTGGGAAAAAGCGAGCAATCTTTATATATATAATTCTTCTGTGAGTGTGTATGTCACTGAACTTCTCTTAAACGACTGGACCGATTTTGATGAAATTTTTTGTGTGTGTTCAAGGGGATCTGAGAATGGTTTAGATTCACAATTTTGTCCGCTGGACAATGTTTTTTTAATTAATTTTTTTGATGGCGGTACGAAGTTCGCTGGGTCAGCTAGTTTTATTATAAAAATAGTATGCAAGACGAACACGCATATGATTTATTTTTTATTTTTATATGCATTTCTGATGAAAACAGTAGCATAACTGACGAAACTGCGTGTTGTGATATTGGTATTTATGGTACATACAGAATTCCCGGCGATGATTTAGAAATTTAAAACTCATGCTGATTTTGTATCTTTCCAGTTGAGACAGTATGGGTCAAAATGTTTTTCACTTTCTAATACTTAATATTTTTGAGGCATGCTTAAATCCTGGTCAAAAATTGTTGGTTACAAAGTCAACTGAAATAACTCTTACTTACTTTATTTTATATTGTTCTAGTTTAAACGCGGCTCGTACAGAGCTTGAAAAGGTAAATGCCGAGGTCGGTGGCATATTCTTTATATTTTATAACTAGCAGCTGGTTTTTTTTTCTGAATGCCTACATTCAACCTCTACTGTTGTTAGTTGGCATTTTATAATATAGGTACTTTGAGTTATTTATTTACCAATTGACCAAAAATTTTATGACTCTTCTTTTTGTTGTAAACTTTTCACAAATACTGTTTTCACTTCACTTTTATTTACATATTATGTGTCAATAAGTAACCTTCCATCTAAAATCGGTTACTCTCGATATCATTTAGTAGTTAAGTTTTAAGTAAAAATATACTATATTTCCTACTGTCACTGTTAACTTTTCCTTTGGAATAGATAAGTATTTCACTGATTATAATTAATTTTCATTTGAACGTATTCTTGGTAGGTATTTATACACATACTTAGATATTTTCGTATGAGTGCGTTTTGCACCGAACTTTAAGGGGTGTTGTACCAATGAGGGCTACCGTTTTCTGCCTCACCAGATGGCGCCACTGTTGAGTGAGGTCCTAAATTGTAACTTTTAAAGTTTATTAATACGCACATGAAATCAAAGGTTACATTTAGATCGTATTTTAACACAAAAGAACCATATCCTAAACATAATAGGCCATGCCACAGTGACGCGCAGTTCCGTTTTATTCGGAAAAAATGGGAACATAATCATTTTTCTAAGCTCAAATTTTTAATAACTGACATTCATTGCCACATAAATTAAGCCGAATTGTTACCAATTATTCACAACATTATTTTAATTAGAAATAAACCCGCGTAGTCAACCAACAAGCAATAACATTTGACATTTCGGAGACCTCACGCTACACTAGCGCCTCTAGCGGCGGATTCATACGCGATAGCCCTCATTATGATTGTTTGGTTCGAGAAAATTTCTTTATCATTAAACAATAATATTTTTTAAAGCACAAGGACATTTTTAAAATAATTGTTACTTTGATGAAATAATGTGACACAATAAAAAATCGTCAATCGAGCTTATCGAGAAAGGTTAAATATATAGAACAATAAACACTGACGAATCATTTATGATAAAATCCAGTTGACCATAGATTTTTTTAACATTCATCTGACCGAAAATCTTATTCAGAGTTTCAAATTGACCATAAAAATTAAAGCTTTTTTAAAATTAGTCCGCACATTATATTCGCGCGGCTATTTTTAAATAATAATAAAATATCTAGACAACTATACACTGGCTAGGAACTAAGCAACAACTGGAGATCCGTTATTCAGAGCTGGAATGACTCAAATACATTGATACTCAAATCAAATAACGAATTTATTAAAAATATTATAGTAGCATATTTACGCTAGCGTCATCCACGCAGGTAGGTATACACCCCGGCAAACTTTTTGAGCATCGACCATAGACGAGAAAGCCTACGCAGTAGAAATTTTACATACGACTTCCTCTGCGTAAGTTTCTCTGTGGTTTTGCTCAAGTAGTTTGCTGCTACATAGGTAGCCTGCCTGCAAAACCGTAATGTGTCAGTTTAAAATCTATTCAAAATATGTGATAATTTTACTACTTTAACGAAGGTTTAAATTTGGATCGAGAGTACTTTCATATTTAACGGGTTTTTTTTACCTGACGTATATCGACATTATTACATTTTTGTCAAGTGCGTTAACAAAACGAGTTAAGCAGAAATATTGTATGTACAGTATTGTGTGCCATGATTAACTGCCAAGAAATATAAAGTAAGGTGCCTGTGTGTTCAGTATAAAATAGTTCAGTAATTTATGAATAAACGAATAAACTCTTTATAACTTAAACTAATATAAATATATGTACGAAAAACAAATGATGTGTAATAACCTTGATATTAATTTCTCATCGAATGGAGATATCCTTACTCTGTTTATGTAACGCTCGTTCAGTTGTCTATGGCTGTTTTAATCGCTATTTCTGCACTAACCGTATCGTAATGTGCGTAGTGGAGTGGTCTACATGTTTACTCAACGCAAACCAAAGTATTTTTAATGATTTCATAATTTTATGTTATTTTAACTCAACTTATCTACGTTTTATTGTAAAGAAGTATTAAATTATTTGTTAAGTGTTTTTTTATGATAATTAATTATTAGTATTATTTTTGGACCACAGTATAAATTATTTGATAATTCCAATAGTTTTTTTTTGTAAAATATGTGATATTGCCTTAATTGGGTGTACGGTTTCGGTATGTATGTATGTATGTATGTAGGCATGTTTTTTTCACAAAAAGTGCGCTAATTGGGTTTCGGAATATTATGATAATGATATTGATATATTTTGTGATGTACAGAGGCTAAAATGCCTACTTCTTAACACTAGCACTTTAATAATAATGAAAAATGTTAAATACGAAGTTTATGTTATATTTCTACTCTACACTTTTAGTACATGACTATTGTGAAGAAAAAAGAATTTAGCTTCCAAATAAATATCATTGTTGACTATACGGGCTTTATTTTTTACCCAAGTTATTAAAATTATATCCTTACTCTATTTTAATTAATATTTTAATTAAGTAAATAAATAAAATAAAAATAAACGAGGACAAGGACGAAATTAAAAAAAGTCTAACAATTTCAGAAAATCTTTAATTTTAATAATTGCTTCTTTTTTTCATCAACTATGCTGTACAAACTATATCGCTTAAATTAGAATTAGCAATTAATAATTGCACGTAAAAAAACTTAACAAATAGGTACCTTCAACTTTTCGATTGGAATGAACGATTATTACATTACGTAATATAGTTTTTTTTTTTACATTATTTATAACCCTACAAATGAAAATCTATATTCAACAAGCAGTCACAATCGCCCAATGATATGTTAAAATTATTTATATATTTTTCAATAGTTTATTGCGATCTAAGTATAACTGCGGTAGTCATTGGCCGAGGGTGTGGGGGGCGAAGGCCTACGAGACGAGGCTGTCGCGCTCCTGCGCACCGCCCTTGTGATTCTGCCCTTTGAAGTCTTTCAGTCGAATAGGCGACGATTCACTTCCCGAATCACCCTGCACAGGTAAAATATAAATTAAGTACGTACCCATGAAATTATAAAGAAGCTCGTATTGGTTGTTACCATGCTTGAAAACAACTTATTCCAAAACATGTACTAAAAAAGTTTTTTTTTATGTTATAGGGGGCATACGAGCAGACGGTTCACCTGATGCTAAGTGATCACCGTCGCCCATGGACACTTGCAACACCAGGAGTATCACAAATGCGATGCCGGCCTTTAAGGAAGGAGTACGCTCTTTTTTTGAAGGTTTTTGGGTCGTATTGGTCCGGAAACACTGCTGGCGACAATATATTCCACAGTTTTGTCGTACGTGGTAAAAAATTTCGTCAAAAACGAACGGTTGCGGATAGCCACGCATCAAGATGATGGGGATGAAATTTTTGTCGCGATGTACGATGGCAAAATGTAGCAGCTGGAATTAATCCGAACAATTCCTCAGAACACTCCCGTGATAAATGCGATAGAAGATGCAGAGCGAAGCTACATCCCTACGCAAAGCCAAAGGATCAAGCTGATCGGAAAGGTCCTGGTCGTCGACGATTCGAGCCGCTCGGCGCTGGATGCGATCCAAAGGGAGAAGCTGGTACTGGGGTGCCCCCGCCCAAAGATGAAAAGTAAACTTGGTTTAAACTTAACGTTGTTACTATTTTGTTTTATAGCAAACAAATGAGAGTTTCATTTTTGAACCAACTTTAACTTTTCCCGCGATCTCCTTTAAAGCTTAAGAAAAGTCTCATGTGACAAGACTTTAACCACTACTAAGCTCAAGTTTAGGTCAACATTTAGCAAGTATTTGAAGGGAGAATCTACGTACAATTTTGGATTGGAAACATGTATATAGGCGATGCGCTGGCTACCCAATGAACCTTAATCCAAACTTAATTACCACTGACATTGTCAAGTACTATGACAAATTACCTATACTAGATCTACTGATATTACATATAAATCCAAAAGTATGTCATTTATCAGTTTTTATGTAGCTTTTTCACTCCTGAACCGCCTAAATGATTTCATCAAAATTGGTATGATTCCCATACAAAGTTTGATGAAAATCGGTTCCTCATAAAAAAGATATTTCTTTAATTAAGATTTACTGTAATTAGCTCGTTATTGGACCTGGGGCACAACTGGTTATGCAATGCAGTTGCTTTATGGGTACGACGCAAAATTATTAATGACTTGTCTAATACAGGGACTAACGTTAGCCCCGAGGGAGGTACTTTCTTGAAGCAGCAGCTCGCTGTCCGTGCCGCGCGCCTCCTTGTTCTTCAGTATAGAGCGCGAGCGAGAGTCGCCTTCCAACGGCCAGCCGCCGCCTCGCTTATTGCCGTTTTTACCTGCAGTAAAACTTTTACTATCAAATAAGCCAGTCTAAGTATGAAGCTTTCGGTACACCGCCGCTAATTATTTTCAGAAAGATTTTATACAACATTTGCAGTAAGATATTCTACTACGAACACGAGTGAGAAGTGACTGCCGCAATAGGTAACGAAAAAAGTAGCAACGTAACTAGAGAAGACAATCGTATTCCAACCTAATGAAATCAGTTAGGTAGGTATTTTGATTGTTCTAACATTTCCTCCTCCTCTCCGCTCCTACGGGGTTGGTGCTAGCGAATGTAGACGCGATCAATGGCTAAAAGTGCTTTTTGATGCTGCTCGAGATAATATTTTTTTGTTACTCGCCCTAAAGTCCTCTACGCACTATCCAACTTGCTGGTTCCAGCATGAGGGACAAGAAGGTGGGTATGGGTAAAAGAGATCCTATATCCATAGCGCTGTACCGCATGCTAGATCCAGCAAGATGGATAGTGCTTATAGGACTTAAAAGCGGTCATTGCGCCTGCCCCATCGAATTCCTCACAAAAGCTCGTAGTTGTGTAAAAATTGTCGTGTGTAGATAGTATCTACCATATTTGCTGAATACCTTTCTTTCCATTCATAGACTTCAATACCCAAAATATATGAACAAAATCATATTACTTATTCACTGTTCATAAACCGTAATAGATAATTCTGTCACTGAATGTGTGTTTTCCTGTTGCTGCTTTAACGAAAAATAAACTTTAACGGATATTACCAAAAAGTATATGGTGATTGATTATCCTCGTAGCTATCCCTCTCGGTGGCCTCTTCTCCTCCTCCGTCCATTCCTGTATAACAATACAACAAGTATGATCTTTGACATGATACTGATAAAGAAAATATTCCATCATTAACATATTCGGGAAAAAGGGAAGGAAGGGGCATGCACTTCACATTGAACAATACATGCAAACATTTAGAACAAACATGATCAGAAACTTTGAGTGACAGCATGCGAAGAGACACTATTTAGTTTAGACAGTATTAGTGCAACTTAGTTCTGCTGAATGTGTAAATTTGACGTTTCCATCAGTACGATAGAAATTAACTCATATTCATATGAGTTTGTCCCTATAATTATATTGTGTAATTGGCACATCGCGCTTATTTCAATGAAAATGGCATCTTTCTTGGCTTTCGTTAATTGTAGGTATATCACGGTAAACTAAAAATGGAATTGATAATGGAAGCAACACATGGGAGATCTACACACTCTTATAACCACAGAACACACTGTATTCTAGATTCTTTCCTCCTACATTATGAACACACTATGTTCTGTGCTTATAACTAAGTATAAATAAGTGTGTGAATGAGAGGTCTGAAGGAGCAACGCCATTTTCAATCTCTCTTGAGCGTGTTAATCGTCTTAAATTTACTACGAAGCCAAGAAGATTCGAGGATATCCGAAGAATTCCAGCCAACTTCTTTTACTTAACGGTAATTTTGTGAAATGCAATGTCATTCCAATTATTTCCGAGTGCACGGGTTAGTAACTTTAAAAAGCTTGGTATTCTTACGGCATGGTCATTCCTCACCTGTTGGAAGCGCGCCTTCCTATGTTTGGGCTTAGCGTCGTCGGGCGGCTCCTCTGCGGGTAACGGCTGAGGCTCGCGCGGCGGCTCTAGGCTACCGCGCGAACCCCGCGGCGACGCGGACGCATCGCCTTGCGACTGCGAACCTTGCGCACACAACCCGCCCCCCTCCATGCTCCCGTCCCCCGACGCACTCCTGCGTACACCGTTAAACTCCGACCCCCCGCCCCCCGAGCCGCCGCCGCTACCATCCAGAGGGTTCACATACAAGTTTGACGAGTCGTTCTCGCATGCGATGTCGCCCTCTGAAGGAAAAGGGTGCGTAAGGCATGATGCAAATGTATCTGCAACGTAAGACAGACGCACATGGAGCAAAGTGTTCTGTGCCGCCTGTAACGAACACTAGTACATTTAATAGAACACACTTAAGTAAGAGTACACGCGTGCTGGAAAAACAATAATGGACGTGGACTAAAAGTGAAGTAAGTTAACATTTAGGTACATATCGTACGGTCAAGACAGGACGCTACGGGTATTCAATTATAGAAAAGAATTACTAATTGACATTTAAAGTTACGATACTCATATGAGACCATTCATATAATGGACATTATTTAAAACACATTATGTACGAATCTAGGTAGATAGTTGAACAAACGTGAACAGTTTTATTTCGGCTTCATAACTATTTAGTAACTGCTTCAAAGTTGATTAGTGACTTATATAATGAAACTGCAGCGTGACTGTTAACATTTGTTCAAGTTGGCGATAGTGATGATCGTACCAGGGCTGTCGAGGCTGTTAGGCGTGGCCTCAGGCAAGGCCTTGGGAGCGGGGTGCCGCTGCAAACAGGCTAGTTCCACACACACCGGTTGCCGCAGATCCGAAGTTGACATCGGCATTAATTGCTCTGCGTCTATGAACTCCTTGTACCCCTGGTAAACATACGTAGTCTTGCATAAAATAAATTGCAAATATCTCAGAATTCGTACATTTAAAAGAAGAAATATTCATAGAAGATAGGAAAATAAAGAAAAACGATAAAAGAACTTGATTACAGCACAAGTACATAATTTAGTTACTATACCTATTTAAGGTAGAGTTTAACTAAAACAAGTAAAAAAGAGATTCAAGAAACAGCATCGCTAGTAGATTGTCTACCATTTGCATGATAAAGAAGCATTAAGTACAGTCAACATCACCTCAGGAAACCAACCTTTTTTTATTATTTGGCGGTATTGAGGTTATTTCGTTTGAGATACCTACTGCTTAAGTTACATAACCCGATGCGTGATGATAACTGTACGCATACACGGTAACTAGGGAATATAATTAGCTCAGCATACTTACAGGAACGCGGCAGGTGGAATTAACTATCAAACTTAATGTAAAATTGTTAAATATTTATTCACAAATGCCACTTAGGTTGCAAATTATAATAGAACTTGTATTATTTCACAAAGTTGCATTGTGTTGAAATTTTATTATTCAAGCTCTAAAGTTAGTATATTTAGTACCTTGAACGTGCAAAAACAACATTCAAACTCAGAAGGCAGCTGATCCAAGTCAAGCTGTTTGTCAGCCATCTTCTTTTCCTAGAAAAAGATAAATCATTAGTTGTTTGTTATTAATATTTATTTCAGCGCAGAAGATAAAAGCTATTCTTTAAGAGAAACTATTATTATTTTTAGTTCGAACTAATATTAAACTTTAAGCGATAAGTTTAGTTTGTTTATTTGAATGCGTATTGTTATAAAACAAAGTCCTATTCAAAATAATCACTTTAGATTTGTGATATGGCTCCGTATTCTACTAACTACGTAGCGGTTCCTATGCAATCTGTGCATAATTGCTTATGGGGAATAAAGTATAGGAATGATGTCTTACTGGTGTTGGATCAGGATTTATGAGCAAGCGTTTCTCCGGCGTGTCCGGGCCTTCGTTAGAATACCGGCGCTCTTTCTTAGGACTGCTCTGAAACTGTGAACTACGGTGTTAGCAGAAACCACTTCGTGCGTAATATTGCTGAATGGGTGCGTCCGTAACTTTTATGTGCATGAATTTTTTTTTAAATAAATCATTCTTTACTGATCAGAAAACAGCAGCAAGTCTTATTTGTCATATTTGGGCTGCATAAAAATTAAGATCAATTGTGGGACAAAGTCTCAAGAAGCAAGTTTTCATAGTTTGAAATTATCAAGGTGACGGTGCCAAAGCAAAAATGAATCACCTACTTATAACACTAAAGAACTGTTGTGATAAGAACTTACTTTATTAAGCGAAAAAATATAAGGGAAAAGGTAATTTTACAGTGATATTTGTCTAATATGTATTAATAAAAATTGGCTCGCCCTGTGTCATCATCAAAGATAGTGAACGCACCCATCTATTCGGACGAGGCTCTTACCTGGTTGGGTTCAGTACTCTGGGGTATCTTATTGGAGATTGCATGCTCGTATTGTTTGTAGCAGCCGGTGGTAGCGGGTGCTTCCCCTTCCAAGCTAGTGGCATCCGCCTGCGACAGGTTGTGTCCTGAAGACACATACCACCGTCAGTAGCGACAATTTTCACTTCTTCTCCGATGCTGCTTCCATTATTATAGCAGTTTATATATAGTTTTATGTATTTATTTAGCTTCATTAGAAATAAAGAAGTGGATAACGTTCAATAAATGACGAACAAGTAAGATAGCAGCGTGAACTACACAACACACATTCCACACAAATGTCTAACTCCAGCTTCCTCCGGATACACACATCAGACAGTCCACATAGTGGTTAGTTCTATAAAGCGTTAGGCTTACGCTGACAATTCTATCGACCTTAGATTATAGTGTCTTCGTCGCACATCGCAAGCTACACGCGACGCGAGCCCGACCCGAGTTACGGATATAAATATAAGGGTCGAGTGTGACGACTGTGCGATAGTAGCAAGTAGCTCATCTGGTGTCGTCTCTCGCCTCAATGAGGACGCACTTGTCACCTGAAGACAAGGAATAAAACACTCTGAGTGCACCTCGTTGGAACGAACGCGGGAAGATAGCTGTAGCTGCGATGTAACGTGAACTATTTGAATTGATTTTGAAGATGTCTGCTAGTCCGGAGAGCTAAACGATACGACACATGCGTTCATTCAACACTCATTGCATTCATTAACACAAATGCGGAATGAGCACGGAGAACATGCGTGCAATGTGAAAGAAGAGGTTAGGAACACACGCTAGCATAGGACACATGACTATGACTGGACAAGCGGCGCAAGCAAACAATAGTAAATAGTACTGACCTGTGTCTACGATGACGTCGATGAGATCCATGCTCTTGGCGAAGGCATCGCGCAAATTTATATGGTGGAAGGAAACGATGGAGCCCTCGCGCTTAGCGCGCTCAAGCGCCTCCCGCCTCTTTAGCGCCTTTTCGCGCCGCATCTGATTCTTGTAAAACTCGGCGAAATTGTTGACGATAATCGGGATGGGTAACGCAATTACCAACACGCCGCAAATACAGCAAACTGAGCCGATGACCTTGCCCAACGGGGTCGTGGGGTAAATGTCACCGTATCCGACTGTGGTCATGGTGATGCCGGCCCACCAGAACGTTTCCGGAATGGAAATGAATTTAGTCCCCGGTTCTTCCTTTTCGGCGAAATATGCCAATGAAGAGAATATGAGCACTCCCATTGCAAGGAACAGCATGAGCAGTCCCAGTTCTTTATAAGAGTTTCTGAGTGTAAAACCGAGCGATTGAAGCCCTGTAGAATGTCGGGCGAGTTTGAGGATACGCAGTATTCGCATTATACGGAAGATTTGTACAACGCGACGTACGTCTTGAAACTGGTCCGTCGCGTTCTTATTCGTTTCGAGCAGAAAAAGAGATACGAAATATGGCAGTATAGCCAGTAAGTCTATAACGTTGAGTCCACCTTTGAAGAACTTCCACTTATCCGGTGAGGCACTGAATCGCAGCACATACTCGAGCGTGAACCACGTGATGCACACGGCTTCTACCATGGCTAGCTGCGGGTTGTCCATGGGCGCGCCCTTCTCGTCGTACACTTGCATCTGAGGTATCGTGTTGAGAGTGAGCCCTATCGTGGACAGCACGATGAAGAGGATCGATATCACTGCAATCACCTGCAATTATGTCACCAGTGAGCGACCAGCAAGGGGACGCTCCTCGCCACCGCGCTGCCACAGTCATAACCGGTGGCACATATGCATCGCATTCATGTGTCAGGTCTCGAAGACATGCCAGTGTCTATACAAAACTAATCTTCCTACTGTTTTTGTACATCGGTAAAGCTGCGAACGATCGTAGCGGTAGGTAGCAGTATAGTCATAATGTAAGTAGAATGTAGGTAGGTAGTATTTACAGGACAATTATAATAAAGCCAATATATAACTTACGTAACAACGTCTTAACATTACGCATAAATTTTGGTGTAAAAATAACATCTATACGTGTGATTATGTTAGTAGTGTTGTGTGATCGAGGTGTAGATAAAGTATCTCTAATATAGTAGTAATATTACATGTGGGTGAACGGACGTGCGTTCAGTCGCGAGGCACGCTCGTCCGTCCATCGCTCGGTTAGTCGGATCAGTATCACGAAGCGGAAGCGTCGGTGGGGGACCGGAGCCGAGCGGGGAATGGGGTAGGAACTTAGGAAGGCAAGAGAGGGGTTAGAAGAAATGACGGATGCAAGGGTGATTGAAAGGATAGCGGGTAAAGGAGGGGGACGCCGGCACAGCGACGCTCAGCCTTAGTGGGAGGCGGCGCGGGCGCGGGTAGCGCACGACGCACGCCGGCGGGGTGCGGCGGGCGCAGCGCCGTCCCGTGCCGCCCCGCACGCGTGCCTCCGAGCGTCGCCAGCGGCGGCTGGTCACATCGCGTAAGCCCATCCCATATTGGCAACTTTGCGACAACAATTAAGCTTTGTTTTTTTTATCTCCATTTGGAGAACGAACGACGCGGCTGTGAACATGTATAAAAAGAACTGTAACAAAATTATACATCAATTTCTCGTGTGATATAATATCATACTTTAAAAAGCTTTGCATTATTGGATAGAACCGATTTATTTATATAGCTAATATTGATATTACTGACAAGTGAATTTTTAAAATAAATTCCTGTTTTTCATTTAAAGTAATTTAGTATTTTTTTAAGTATAACTTCGTTGAGCAATTCAGTATAAAAACATGATCTGATTTAAAAATTCACCCATTTATTAAGGCATTATAAATCTATATAGATTTCTCAACCTCCAAAAGGATATTAAACTCAAAAAAAGCAAAAATGAAACCATTAAACTTAAAAATGTCATTCAATTCAATAACTCCTTAGTATATATTTAAAAAATAGACACTTCTAACGATGTGTTATACGTTCAGAATAAATACCTTTAGAGCAGCTTGAAATGTGTCAATTGCATGTACAAAAAAAATGTTCAAAAAAAAAACTTAAGATAATATATAACATCATTATTTGTACTTACATACGCGTTAATGGCACCGCCGTTGTCGAAAATAAAACATCAACTATCTACAAGTGAAGCGAGAAGGTATAACATGGATTCTAACTAATTAGTTTTAGTTTGGATTCGACAAAAGCGATCACATGTCATCGTCACAGAACACTAGTCACAATACAATATTAGAACACAACACCACATTCCATAATACGATCACAGGGACAGACACTTACTTAATATACTATGGAGCAGAGATAGATGTTATTCATGCACCACAAAACTACACAAATACCTATCACTGTTATTCGGCCTAGAGTTACACTTATGTTAGAAATATTAATACTCACTATTATTAGTTTTACTAACACTAATCATTTAACTAAGTAATTTATTTTACAAACTGTTAACAAAGTTGAATGAGTTCGTGTTTAGAATTCTGTTTAAAAAATATGTAATTTAGTTCTTAGGTGTAACAAGTAAAACATTCGACAGGTGAAAGGCGCAATTTTAAATAACTAACTGGGTGATAGAAATATGTGTTTTGCGCTATTTAAAAGTGTATCAAATATTATTGAAACAATGAGTGTATCATAATGTACAGGGCTTTATGTAGACAAACTAAGGTGTGCAAAGTAAGATATTTTAAATAGATATATTGCTTTAAATATTTTAAATCTTATCAACATATAAATAAAATTATAAATCTTATCACAAGTGAATGTGAAGAAGTGCAAAATTTTCTCACAAAAGACCAAAGCACCGAAACAGAAAAAACTGTATACCTTTCTCGTGAATAAAATCGTGACGAATATATTCCTGGCAGCTTTGCTATTGTGGCGAGATTAGTTCAATTGGAATATTTATTAATATTTTACAACGGGGGTCAATACATTACCCTGGCTGCAATACTGGTGGTGGGCTTCTCGAGTAAGTCCCACAGCCATTTCTGGTACTGAGCGCAGGTACCCTGACCAAATTCCTCTTCCTCCCGTTGCCGGAGACTCTCCGCTTCCTTCCTCATCTCTTCGTGTACGTGCTCCTTGCGCTGGTGGTATTTGTGCTGACAACATGACTCCAGATAAAGCTCATCTACACCCCAATATTCGAGGTCGTCGCTAAACGCGAGCACGCACATTTCGTCCACCAAATGCAGTTTTCCAGTGCGGTAAAAGTTTAAGATGGAACTGAAGCTCTTCGGGTGTCTGGAATTTAAAGACAGTACAAGCTTTATTATATGAAGAAGGAAGAAAGTTATACTAAGTCAGAGAAATCAGGAGCGACATAAAAGCGACAGGGAAAATTTAAATAAAGTATGTATATGTATATAGGTCTTATTTTATTTAAAACCATTTGAAAAATATGAAGTATTGCCTGTGGTATTGCCGAATTAGTAGCTAAATAATAACTCTACTATCTTTGTATTCCCATATTCAAAACGTCTTCAAAGTTTTATTATTAATATTGTTGGAATTTTTGTGTACAAATTACTGGTAACAGTTTAGGGCCCTACACAACGTTAAGGTATCATATTAGGAGTGTAATTATCGCAGTACAATTCGAATGTTCTAAAGATGACTGATGTGATGCAAGTATAGCTCGGTGATGATCTCGTGCGTGTTAGAGTTGCGCAATGCCTCAATTCGAAATTAACTGCAGTTGCTTCTTCATTCGTCGCCTACGTTGATGAGCGTGGACACGGACCTCAATCTTAACTCACAACCATGGACTCAGCTAGATGTCTACGTAATAAACTGACCTATCGAAGAAATACTCGCTGTCCTGCAGTGAGTAGTCGTCGCAGAGCTCCGTGATGACCCCATATGCGTTGCATTCACGCAGCCGACGAGGTCGTGTGTGTGGCAGCTACTCCAGCGTCCGCCATATCACTTCATGTCACACGCCATCAACATTAAAGATCGCGAAAACCGACTCCGCTCAACCTTAACATTAGTTGAAGTAAGCTTCTATGTGATATACTGACCTATCGAAGAAATACTTGTGGTCCTGCAGCGAATAGAAGTCGAAGAGCTCCGTAATGACCTCGTGCGTGTTACAGTCGGTCGAGTCGCGTATGAGGTATCCGCTCCAGCGTCTGCCACAGTACCTCGTGTGACCCGCCGCCTACGAGGATCTGTCCATCGAAGAAATTGTCGTTGATGAGACTGACCTATCGAAGAAATACTCGTTGTCCTGCAGCGAGTAGTCGTCGCAGAGTTCCGTGATGGCCTCGTGCGTGTTGCAGTCTCGCAGCCGGCCGAGTCGCGTATGAGGTAACCGCTCCAGCGTCCGCCACAGCACCTCGTGTCGCACGCCGCCAACGTTTATGATTACTCGTTTGCTGAGCGCTTTCGCGCGGAGCATCATAAACGGCTCCGGCGGCAACGACGACATCGACCTGAAATCACGAACCATAGTTCTAAGTTGACGACCTCCGTGGTCGAGTGGTTTGCACGCCGGTTTCATGGTGTCGCCGGCTCGAGAGGTCCCGGGTTCGAATCCCGGTGGGGGCAGATGTTTATGTGATGAATACGAGTATTTGTATTCCAGCCATGTTTAATATGTATTTCTATATACATATACATATATGTACTGTATATGTATTTTATCCGTTACCCTAGTATCCCATAACACAAGCCTTACAGCGCTTACTTTGGGGCTGGGCTAATTGGTGTGTGTTTAAAAAAAAGGTACGAGTTTTGGAAATATTGTTCAATAGTGAAGAATTATATTTTGCAGTAACGCTTTTAACAGAAATCGTATGGCAGCGAAATACATCCAAAGATGATCTTAGTTTTTGAAGACATATGGTAGTTCATACTGGTTCAGGTGTTCTTGTCCTTGATACTACACGCTTGCTTAATATCACAAATATTGGCGTTTGAGAATGAATACTTTGTTTCAAATGATCACGCTGCTCTATCTCTATATAAACACAAACTGATTAAGTTACCAATACCACGAATCTAAGAAATGCGCATTAATATTTATCTCTTTTGAAGTGACACTTTATATAACCGCTATTTCCTTTTCATTTTGAATTCCGTTAGGAAAATTTCAAATAGAATTTTTCTTTCCGTCGACGTATTTCCGACAAAATCTTTAAGCAACATTTCAGAATAATATTCGTTTATCATTATATTGTCATCAGTTAACTGAATTTTAAAACTTCGAATCGTTATTTAGGTACCACTACGATGTTGATTATGTTATAACTGGGTACCTGATCGTCTCACAATTCGTATTCGGACTTGATCCTTTTTGACTTGACTTGATATTATTATTATTATTATATATTATATAGGGGGCATACGAGCTGACGGCACACCTGATGGTATGTGATCACCGTCGGCCATACACCTGCAACACCAGGACTATCACAAATGCGATGGCGGTCTTTAAGGAGGGCCATATAATTTTATTTATTTTGCCTGAAGGTTTTTGTATATATTTTTTTTTCGTTATAATTGTATATTTTTTGTACATACAACAATACATTTGACTTAATATGCTTACTACGATATGTGCTACGAATCTCCGTTACGAGGTACACTGCCTCTATTTTCGCTGATTTAGATTAATATAGTGTCTCTTTGACTCCTCCTACATAGGTCATAAATTCAGGTACTTATACAACTGGACAAGACCCTTGTATATAAAGTGAAAGACCCGGTTTACACGAGCGTAACGGCTTGATGAGTCTCGATCCTTCCAGTATGCTACGAACTTGGCTACGACGATTATCCGCTACGGCCTTATATTGCTGCTATTTCTCGCTTATTCAATCCTATTATAAATGCGAAAGTTTATGCTGATGTTTATTATTCTTTCACGCAAAAACTACTTGACGGATTTGGATGAAGTTTGGTACGCATATAGTTTAAGACCTGAATGGAGACATATGATAATTTTTATCCCGGAAATATGTTAGGTTCCTGTAGGATTCTTAAAAAAACTAGAGTTAACGCGGACGCAGTCACGGGCGGGCGCTAGTTTTTACAAAATAAGCTCACGTTTGATTGGTACCTGAAGGTTACCCTAATATGGAGCACGTTTTCTTAGAAGAAACTTATACTCTCGAGATTTAAGAGAGTGCGATATTGTACGTATGTATCTAAAGAACAGAAGGAAGCAGATAAGTCTGCAGCTTTTGGATTGCAATAGATAGATGAGCTCCATGGCGTAGTTTGCAAGCGCGTTCAGTTTGCAATTGTAGAAGTTAAGCAACTTTCGTAATGGGCGGTCATTGGATGGATGACCAACAACTTATAATCTCAAGCTCCTCTGTTGGTCCCGGCTGCGTTTGCGGTCATTAGCATCCACCAATGGTGGTGCGTCATGGTGACTGTCCCTATGCCACTATCATAGGGATGGCCAGTGCCCTAACTGTGTGGACATTGATAAGCTAATATTCATATGGAGTATATAAGTATATTACCGGGAGTGTACCCACTGCACCGCGGTATTCCTGCGCGGGTACTGCGTCGTATAATATGGGCATACGTGGGCGAGTCGTCCTCGTGCCAGCGCACGTATAGTAAGGATTGGGTTTACTATTTGAACTGCGAACGCTGCAGCAAGCATTGCTGGTGAGCGCTGACTCGGGCGCAGTAGCAGGCGCGGGTGCAGTAGCAGGTGCTAGCCCGCGGTCGAGCGGCTCGTGTTGCACTGATTAGTCCATGGGCGCGCGAGGGGCCGAATCTCTCACATGCCACCGCGATTATAGTATGAAGTGGATGAATATATTACCTGGAGTGCGCCCGCTGCAGCGCAGCATTGCTGGCGAGCGCTGGTGCGGGCGCGGGCGCAGGCGCGAGCCCGCGGTCGAGCGGCGCCTCCTGCGCGGGCGCCGCGTAGCCCATGGGCGCGCGCGGGGGCGAGTCGCCCACGTGCCAGCGCGCGGCGCCGCGGCCCGCCCCCTCGCCCCCCATGCCCGCTAGCTCATGGCGCCGGGCGCCGTCGCTTCATCTGGTCGATGTTGTTTCGCTCGCCACGTTGACCTGCAAACGAATATAAGACCGCATTTAATATTATGCAAGTAGATATTTTGTTTTATTTCTATTGCTGAACGATGTTCTTTAATTATCGTGTTTCCTACAATTTAACAGTACGCCATTGCGTATGTTGATTTGTTTTAGATTTTTCTGTGTCAGTCAGCAGTGTTTTTCTTCTTAAATACCTGCATAAGTATTTAAACTGAATTACTCTAAAAAAATAGATAATTGTATGGTAAAGGTATTAATGAAAATAACTGTTGGTAGACCTCAATAACAATATAATAGTTTCATCATCCATGTATTTATTAATGTGGCATCAAGCATATGTAGGTACCTATAATTTGAAATATAAGAAAAGTTGCCCGAATTGAAAGTAGATCTGTCCGACTTGACACACCACACCGTATTATCCAAGCTTGTTCTTCATTTACTAAGTAGGGGTACATTACAACACAGCGAGCAACAGTTAAGCATGCAACTTTATAATGGGGTCGATCGCAATGCTCTTTAGTTCACCGCAGATAAAAAAAAGTATGCCGCTTAGCAAAGTCAAATTACATAAGTTCAAAGATTAAGAACCAAGGAACTTATATACTACACAGTTAGGTCATAAGTATTGTCACACAGTAAAAGGGTTTTTCTTTAAAAGACTCTAAATTTGTCTTCCGACTTAATAATTTAGCATACTGATTTTTTGGAATGCATTTGATATGATTTTTATTTACATTTGGCAATATTTTATATGTTACCAAGTTTAAAAAATATATACAACTGGTTATTGTCAATCAACGCTTCAAAAAGGTCATCAAACGTCATTTTACTCTTATTCCAATTGTGTATCTTCAGGGAACTACTTAGCTCCAAATTATTTAATATCAAATTAAAAATATAATAACATGTCCTATTTAAAGGCTTATAAATTACCCTTCGTTTACATTAATAAACTTTTAAAACACTTGCCAATAACTAACTTAAACTTTAAGTAAAAATATTGTTATAAGTTAAACGTCATTCATCGCAATAACGTGAAAAAAAAATATTATTAAAAACTACATAGCAAACGTAACTTTAGTTCACTCTCCCGGGTGTGCGGGAGGGGACCTCAGTTGACGGTAACGTCGCGGTGAATTAACACGTGTGTTTCTGTGAGCTGTAAGTATTTTTTTCTAATTATTTATATTTTGTCATCGATTAAGTCATTTGTATTTCAATCTAAGTACCTTGAATACACACACGTAACATTGTCGTTTGTTTTTATTATAATATCCAGCAGAAATAGATTTCATTTAGGATAATCATTGCTGACGTTTTATGCTCACAGACAAGTTCGTGCAGGTTTTTTCCTCAACTCGTCATTTTAAGCTACATCATTATGGGCAACATACCGTCAAGACTAGCAGATCAATGGGTTCATTTTGGTTCAGATGTTGGAAATTTTGATCA